TATCCAATAATATTTTTCCCATGTGATGAGATGATCTACAAAAATCAGCCAATTACAATGAAAGCCCGCTATGCTGATGGCTGGCAAATTTAATTTTTATTCACAAAATCAACATAGCCTCGGAGGGACATTTTGATAGCAAAGATCCCAAATTAAAAGAAACTATTTCGTAAATTACAATGTAACGTAAAGATGTAATTTTGCGTAATACAACCTATTTGTCAGTAGGGTTGGAAAATTACCGTAATTTTTATAAGTTTGTTATTTAAATGTTAGTATATCATGATCTAGTGACCTGAATTAAATGAATATTGATACCATTCGATTTGTCTTGACGAGATGGTTCGAATGGTATCAAGCCAATTAAATTCAGTTCGTTAGATCATGAGATATTTGCGAAAAACTATCTGTGGCGCAGAAAACTTAAATTTCTATAGAGCTGCGTTGCAAATTGCTTTTTGCAAATATCTCATGATTTGATGATCAGAATTTATTAATTTTGACACCATTCAAATCGACTTGTTGACACGAATCGAATGGTACCAAAATCATTGAATTCTGATCACTAGATCATGATATATTGGCAAAACCATATTTTTAAAAAAATTTCAGGGCAGATTTGCAGGAGAAACGGTTTAAGAGATACTTAAATTCTCTGTAACACAAAATTTTACTAAGATAATCTCTTTTGTGCTGCTAATAATGACCCTCTCGCAATTTTGTATTAATCTTGACATTAATTTTAAACCTAACCTAACCCTAACCCTAACCCTAACTCTAATATTAGCAGGTTGTTACAAATAGATTATTAAATTTAGGAAATTATAATTCTTGCATGCTCGCAGTTAGATTTTAGTAATACATCAATTTGATAAGTCCAATGACATTTCGAATCCGATGAGTTTTTAATAGAATTTTAAATCTTGAATGAGCAATTTTTGATGGTTGTTATGCCCACTACTATGTATATTACTGCCTTTGAAAAAATTTCTAATCATGTAATTAGACATTTTCGAAGCTGCACAGATAATATATAATTTGATCTTGGGCTAATGTTAGATTAAATCAACGAAGGTTCAAAATCTTTTATTGTTGAAAAATGTCATTGGATCTTCGATCATTGTGATGCTTCCTGACAATGTAATTATTCAAAAGGTGGTTGTCATGCCCACTACTATGTATATATTACCACTTTCAATGAAAACCTCTAATCATGTAATTAGACATTTTCGAAACTGCAAGGATAATTTCTTGCGTATATTTGTTAGATTAAATCAACAAATCTTTTATTGTTGAGAAATGTCATGGATCTTCAACCATGGAAACCTCTAATCACGTAATTAGACATTTTCAAACTGCAAGAATAATTAGGCATAAGTAGGGTTGTATAACTTAACCTAACTTATACCCTGGTCACTATATCAAGATCGCAGGGCATAAATCAGGTATGTCCTGGGCACTATGTGATAAGCGGGACTTTCAGCCCCGCTTATACCCAACTGCCCAGGAAATAACTATTACTTACGTAAGTTAGATTTTACCTTATGTAACTTATGTAACTTACATATGGAACCGGGTAAAATTCACCACCCAAAATTATTTCAGATCATATGATATGTGAATATTATTTTCATACTTAGAATGATGTAATGAAATGATGCTCAAAATCATAATATAACATAATCTGAAATAAATTTGGGTAGTGAATTTTATCCGGTTTACATATAGTATACTAATCTAATGCTGGCCAATATTTTTAAAGTTGGCCCACTTTAGCTTTTGGCCTAAAATTAAAAATTTTCTTTCTATTTCATCTCAATGCTGGTCAAACTTTCTTAATACCGGCCTGCTTTTTCAAGTAAAATTAAAAACTGGCATAACTCTAGGTAAAATCAAATTTTATTAGCTTCAAATTCAAATAAGACGAAAATTGATTAAATACAGTATTGGTCTTGTTTGATGTTTGATGTTTCGTCCGTTAGACCGAGGAACGTTTTGTCCAACTCTAATTTTAAATATAAACATGATTCTTGTAATTACAAAAAGAAAGAAAAGATAAATTTAAGAAAATCGTTTTTTTCTTATTTAAGTATTGCGAGAAAAAATGGTGAACCCTATCGTATGTCGATTTTATTGTTTGCTTTAATTTCCTGTTCAACAGACATTTACGAGTTTGTACGCGCTGCGCAAAAGTTATGTTTTTGATTCATCCATTATCAAAAAATTAAAAAAGTAACTTTGAACTTTCTGGCATACATATGACAGAAAGTTCAAAGTTATTGGAATTTATTAATAGAATGCGCTTATCTCCGGGACAAATCGTACATGAATAGAATAAATTAAAGAAAAAATTTTGAATTTTGAAGTTGTATTTCAAACCAATTTAATAAATATTGTAATAACTATTATCACAAATAATTTTTATTTTTTCGCATTAATAGAACTTAAATAGTACAGGTGGTTTCTTAAGTGAAAAATCTCTCATTTTCTTGTTACTAAGATATATAATTAATTGTAAATTTATTCTTACTTCTGGTTCCTTGATGTTATTTGAGTTTCATCTCTGTTTTTAGCCAATAGCTTGTTCGGGTTATTCCAACTTTTTTTATATATTTACAATAAAAATAGTACTCAATAAAAATGTCGCATATTAGCATAAGATTAAAAGGTGAAATACATAATTTTGATCAAAGCATGTAATCTCACCCAATTCTGAAATTCTGAGTTAGCACGACAAAATTTGTTAATAATCGTAATGTATTGACCTGAAAATTATTACACATTTCACGTGTTATTATTGATAACTAAAATAACCAAACAGCGATAACCATTTTATTTACATTTGTAATATTCTGACATGGCTGACCACCTTGCTAGGATCTCAAATAATCTCAGATGAATAAATTTTTGATAAAATTTATCCTTACTAATTAAGAGCTCAAGTGGTGCCTTATTATCAAGACGATTGATTAATAATTCAAAATTAGTATTTATTTTCTCTAAGAATTTTCATAATTTTTTAATTTCGGCCACAAATCTGATTAATGATTCAGCATTCCAAAGAATTGCTAATCCAATTCTAACTGTAGGACGAACCGGAATTAAGACATCAATTAAAATTTGTCTTACTTTAATTGGGCTATAAGTGAAGTCATATATATGCACGATTAAATTCTCATTGTGAACTTGTAGAGTCACGTATCCGATTTCTTCAAGCAATTTTTGAATAGATTGGGTCATGTATGAAGAATCAAAATTGTTACGAACGTGAGCTCCAGACATCAACATTGCTAATATAAGCTTTGCCTTATCACTCTGTTTCTTATTGAATGATGAATTTATTGGTTTACTCGATTCAAGTGATCCTACTTCCATCTTAAATCTAGGAAATATACTTTCACATATTAATTGGCCATCAGGACGTATTCCATTTGTATTGTTAGCTTTAGAAAAATGGTCAGCATTAAGGTTGACAAATACTAATTCTTCAAATTCACGATTCAAACATGGTGAAGAAGATTTAGGGCTTGTACATGGTGATGATAAAATAGAAGTACTATTTGAACATGGTGATGACGAAATAGGAGTATTATTTGAGCATGGTGGCGATGAAATTGAAGATCCTTTATCTCTACTGGCTTCTCAACTAGAATCTGTGAAAGATTCATCCCTATATCAATTAAGTTCCCATATAAAAAATAAATAAATAAATAAAAGAACCCATAATATCTAAATACATTCTATTTGAAAATAAAATTATTATATACATATACACATACATCTTAAATTTTAGATACTTTAATCCCGAAACTAAAACTCTGAACAGCGGATACAAAACTTCTATATGCCAGGATTTTTCTGACATGTCTTCGATCTTAAAACCTACGAATTTCTTTTGGATATTTTTGCTACAGGAGCATTAATACAAAAATTTATGCGTAAATGTGACAATTAGTGGTAAATATACTTACAAGGTTTTTATAAATTCAACAATCCATAACTCGTCTTCAAGTTGAGCATACTCTGTATCATTAATATGAGTTTTAATCCATTCAGTAACATGCAAATTAAGAGGTTCTGGAGGATAAGGATCATTATTATCTACAATCAGATAATATTGATCATTGATGCTGTCCAACTTAATGTCACAAATTTCGAATTGTTCAGGATTTTGCGAGATTTGTTTAAGTTGTTTAATAAATTCGGTCAAATATTTTTGTTCTGATTTGGGTTTGATCATCTGTAAAGCGAGAAATTTATTAGTAAAATTCAAGATTAAACAAAAAAAAAAAAGTTTATACTAACTTCCATATTATCTAGAACCATCTTAGACCACCGATTTTCGCGATTGGTTTTATATTTTCTTTCTATTCCTAAGAAGGTTCTATATCCATTTATATTTAATATAATGTTTACCCAATCTTCTTTAATTACTTTTTCATCCCTCTTAAAATATAAAGTGGGTAAATCGTTAGTGACTGAAACAAAGTATATATCAGAAAAAAATAGAAAAACAAAATAGAATCAGACTTCTAAGGATGAAATTATCAATTGGTTGAGCTGTAAGACTCAGGACCATATACTATATAAAGTAAAAAAGGCTAAGGTGCAAAAGGGAGATTCAGTAGGTAGAGCTGTAAGGCTCTGAACCATAATATATAAAGTAAAAGAACTGAGGTACAAAAAAACAGTTCGGTTGGTAGAGCTGTAAGACTCTGAACCATACTTTATCTAATATACAAAAGACAATTCGGTTGGTAGAGCTTATGGACCATACTCTATCTAAATGTAAAGTACAAAAAAGGACAGTTTGGTTGGTAGAGTTGTAAGACTCTGGACCATATAAAAAGAACAGTTCGGTTGGCAAAAGAAGGTGGTTTAGTTTGTAGAGCCGCAATGATCTAGTACTTTGTCACTACTTAAAGATAAAGTTCATCATCTTCTATTTAGAAACGATTAAAAACAATTTAAAAAATGCAGACCTGTAATTTACTGATTATAACCGTTTTCTTCTCATGTTCACTCTTGTAAAAGGATGAAATAGTTTTTTTAAAGGCATTAATAGCATCTTGAGGTGAATGGTGGTTTCCAGGAA